TCCTAGTGAAACTAGAAGAGTTTCTTGTGGGTAACAAGAAATACTTATTGCATGTTAGCAACAGATTACATTGATGACATAGTTAGAGATTTTCAGGAGGTCTAGATGTTAGATCACATTCCTTTGAGATCCGTAGGTGTTCTGCCGGCATCCTCATGACACCATCATTGTGGGTGGTGCTTATGGCATTCCTCAGTAACAACCCATTCTGAACTGTATACAAGAGTCTTCAATTTGAGCTCATAGATGTCAATACTAAAAAAGTAAAATAACCCAAAACAAATGAAACACCAACCACTCTTGACATTAGATCCTTGTAAAGTATAATCACCGGCATAGGAGACTTGCCCTTCTTTTCACACAGAGGTGGCTTCTTCTCCACCATGCCATCTCAAATAACAAGGTGTAGAACTGGATGAACACAGCAGGCCAAGCAGCATCAGAGGAGCAGGAAGGCTGACATTTCGGGCCTAGACCCTTCTTCAGAAAAAGTGCTGCTTGGCCTGCTGTGTTCATCCAGCTCTACACCTTGTTATCTCAGATTCTCCAGCATCTGCAGTTCCTACTATCTCCTTTACATCTCAAACTGTTTTTGGACTGACAGGACCTAATTTTCTGCAGTAGGTTTAGTGTTCAGCTACTCCACAAATACTGTGACTTGGCGTCATTCAAAGCATTTTTAATATTGAAGTTGAGAGCAGAATATCATTTTCACAGAACTATTGGCAGAGTGGCAGAATTCTGATAGCAAATTTTGTACTTTAATATTTAACCACATATTCACTCCTCACCTGAAATTGCTGCACCTTCTACAGACAAATAACAGTAAACAATGTTAGTTTCACAATTTTGAGAACTAATTCTAGCTCGTTAAGATTCACGGCAACAAACAGCAGCAGATTTCAACTCAACATAAAGTTACTCATTAATCCTTGACACAGCTCTCTGAAGTATGCAAAGCTTTTTTTTATTACCACTAAATGTTTTGAGTACATAGTTTAAATTCTGCACAGGCAGAAGGCAGTAAAAGTACCAGTCTCATTCAAAAAGTCAGCATGACTTTTTTTTTGTCAAAGCACAGCTTAAAAATGTTCAGGAAGGTTCTGTTCTACTTGTGTCAAATAAAGATGCATGTCGCTACAAATCAAGCAGTACTTAATTCTGTAGGATGGGTGAAACATAGTACATACGCGATGCTGTGGAAAAAGGGAGAAATCAAAATGTGTGAGGAATGACGCTATGTTCTGCCCGACGAAGTTCAATTATACCTGCAAAATAAAAATCAAACTAGCTAACGGCAAAACTCTTACGCAACTTGCATTGCTGTAATCTTCCCAACAAATCAATATTATTAATAATATCAAATTAGAAAAAAAAAACTAAGTCTGGAAGGTAAGCTCAGTCCAAATGAGTATGATTAATTAGAATTGATATTATTTTGGTCAAGTGAAAGGGGCGGAAGTGTCGGAGGATGATGCATTGGATCTGGAGGTTGGTGGGGTGGTACATGAGGATGAGGGGGATTCTTTTTTGGTTGTTATTGCGGGGAGGGGGTGTGAGGGATGAGTTGCGGGAAATGCGGGAGACACGGTCGAGGGCGTTCTCGACCGCTGATGGGGGGGAAGTTGTGGTCCTTGAAAAACGAGGACATCTGAGATGTACGGGAGTGGAATGCCTCATCCTGGGAGCAGATGCGGCGGAGGCGGAGGAATTGGGAATAGGGGATGGCATTTTTGCAGGAAGGTGGGTGGGAGGAGGTGTATTCTAGGTAGTTGTGGGAGTCGGTGGGCTTGAAATGGATATGGGTTTCTAGGTGGTTGCCGGAGATAGAGACAGAGAGGTCCAGGAAGGAGAGAGAGGTGTTCGAGATGGTCCAGGTGAACTTAAGGTTGGGGTGGAAGGTGTTGGTGAAGTGGATGAATTGTTCGAGCTCCTCCTGGACTGTATTGGCGCCGCCTCGTAAAAACCAGTCCCCCTCCACTGACACCCTCATCCGCTTAGCCGAACTCGTCCTCACACTCAACAACTTCTCTTTCAATTCCTCCCACTTCCGACAGACAAAGGGGGTGGCCATGGGTACCCGCATGGGCCCAAGCTACGCCTGCCTCTTTGTAGGTTACGTGGAACAATCCCTCTTCCGTACCTACACTGGCCTAAACCCCACCTCTTCCTCCGTTACATTGATGACTGTATCGGCGCCGCCTCGTACTCCCACAGGAGGAGCTCGAACAGTTCATCCACTTCACCAACACCTTCCACCCCAACCTAAGTTCACCTGGATCATCTCTAATACCTCTCTGTCTCCATCTCCGGCAACCACCTAGAAACCGATATCCATTTCAAGCCCACCAACTCCCACAGCTACCTAGAATACACCTCCTCCCACCCACCCTCCTGTAAAAACGCCATCCCCTATTCCCAATTCCTTCACCTCCGCCGCATCTGCTCCCAGGATGAGGCATTCCACTCCCGTATATCTCAGATGTCCTCGTTTTTCAAGGACCGCAATTTCCCCCCTTCAGTGGTCGAGAACGCCCTCGACCGTGTCTCCCGCATTTCTCGCAACTCATCCCTCACACCCCATCCCCGCAATAACAACCAAAAAAGAATCCCCCTCGTCCTCACGTACCACCCCACCAACCTCAGGATCCAACGCATCATCCTCCGACACTTCCGCCATCTGCAATCTGACCCCAACACCAAAGACATTTTTCCCTCCCCACCCTTATCTGCTTTCCGGAGGGACCACTCTCTCCGTGACTCCCTTGTCCGCTCCACACTCCCCTCCAGCCCCACCACACCCGGCACTTTGCCCTGCAACCGCAGGAAGTGCTACACCTGCCCCTACACCACCTCCCTCACCCCCATCCCAGACCCCAAGAAGACTTTCCACATCAAGCAGATGTTCACCTGCACATCTGCTAATGTGGTATACTGCATCCGCTGTTCCCGGTGTGGCCTCCTCTACATCAGGGAAACCAAGCGGAGGCTTGGGGACCGCTTTGCAGAACACCTACGCTCGGTTCGCAAAATAAACAACTGCACCTCCCAGTTGCGAGACATTTCAACTCCCCCTCCCATTACATAGACGACATGTCCATCCTGGGCCTCCTGCAGTGCCACAACGATACACACCCGAAGGTTGCAGGAGCAGCAACTCACATTCCGCTTGGGAACCCTGCAGCCTAATGGTATCAATGTGGATTTCACAAGCTTCAAAATCTCCCCTCCCCCTACCGCATCCCAAAACCAGCCCAGCTCGTCCCCGCCTCCCTAACCTGTCCTTCCTCCCACCTATCCCCTCCTCCCACCTCAAGCCCCACCCTCATCTCCTACCTACTAACCTCATCCCGCCCCCTTGACCTGTCCGTCCTCCCTACCTCCCCACCTACACTCACCTTTACTGGCTCCATCCCCGCCTCTTTGACCTGTCTGTCTCCTCTCCACCTATCTTCTCCTCTATCCATCTTCTATTTGCCTCCCCCTCTCTCCCTATATATTTCAGAACTCCTTTCCCCTCCCCATTTCTGAAGAAGGGTCTCGGCCCGAAACGTCAGCCTTCCTGCTCCTCTGATGCTGCTTGGCCTGCTGTGTTCATCCAGCTCTACACCTTGTTGTCTCAGATTCTCCAGCATCTGCAGTTCCTACTATCTCTAATAACAACACAACCTAATTTACAACATGAATCACTAAAGGATCATGCTAATCTTCACACTGACAGGTCATACACTCATATTAGCCATGTGTTGCTTTCTTGAAGTTGCATTGCTATGACAATATTCTGTTATGAAATAAAATTACAGGATGGGAGGGGTTGATTTGCACAGTTGATTTTATCTGGGAGTTTTAAACCGATTTTGACAGATGAAAAACTTAGTCTTCATCTTTATAAGCTCCTGAAACATGATTAAAGCTCTTGTTTTGAAGAACTTACTCATTCAGATTTATTGTATGCAAAATGCCAAACAACAGCTGCTCCTCTAAAATAATATATGCTGAAACAAGTATAACAATTGATATGCTGTCATACATCTGGGTTCAAGTTGTGTAAGGGTGCCTGCTGAACCTACGTAACATTGTGAACATCTGCATTTTACTACACTTCAATAATTTCTTGTTGAGTCAGATTTTAATGTACAAATTTGGCCGATCTTGAAAGGTTGCAAAAACTGTGCGTTAATTTGTATTGCAAATCTTTCAAAAGTATTCTCAAAGGCTGACAATTTGAAGATGGGGTGCTGACAGTTATGCAATATGTAACAAAGTTATCAAAGGCCCTTCTCATCAAAAGCATGCAAGGTCAGTTTGCGTAATTTTCCGAATTCGACAGTGTCTTACTTTTATTAATATCAAGCACTTGCAAAAGAAGAACATAGCTAAAATAACGTACATTTTCACAATATGAACTCTACTCGAGAGAGACACCTTTGCAACTTTCCAGATGCTTTACTGCAAATGCAGGAAGTTTGACAAGGTGGCTAAATATAAAGAGAAAAGAAATTCAACTAAGCTGCATTGATACAAACAGCAGACACACTTCAGTACCATAGCACCTGGGTATTCTTGTACTGATTGGCAAGTAACTGTCACATCAGTTTGAAATTACAGTGAACATAGAAACATTTCAAACAAACGAAAAGAATTACTAACATTGAACTATAAAAGGTGAAGAAACCCTAATGGAAGCTAGGGACGACTGCATCAGTTCTTCTGCTTCTAGAAGAAGCTGTCGTTTATTTTCTGTGGCTTACACGTGATACAATCAGGTGCAGGAACAAACAATAAGTCTGTGGAACAGATGTCGAGTTCCTTACTCAAGAAGTAAATCCCACTGTGTTACTACAAGTCAGTAATCTTCCAGAATTTATATTATCCTTTACATCCATTTTCCCTCCTCTGATGTGAAACAAAATTGCATAATTCAGCACAAATAATGATAACCATTGTAAAATACAAGTTAAATCCAGGAAGTTCACACATCTTAAGCTGAGTTTCCATACCTGTATCATTTCCAGATCCTGTTGATAATGCTGGCATGATTCCTTCTATAAAATGTCACACAGGAATATCAGGTTTGCACTCAGCAGCAAGTAAAGATTATCTGTGGACTCGGTCAGTCAATGCTCTCACCTTCATTCAATCCCACCTATGTCAATTTTTGTTCCCTGAAAGGAATAATAATTTTACAATCAAAACATGACTCAGTAAAACTCTGTTCTTCAGCTTAAAATGTTGCTTGGAGTTCAAACTTAGGAATTGGACAAATTTCGGTCACCTGCATACCTGTGAATAAATAAACAGCTTGTCACAAATACCATTAATGCTATAGTGAAAACAACAACCCTGAGCCCATCACACTTAACAAGTTTATTACAAACTAGAATGGCTGAATATACTGGAAAAAATTAGGAGAGGCCTCAAAATATCTGTTGGTACATGGGATCAAGGAAAACCCCAAGGATTTTCATAATTATGTTAAGAGTAAGAGGTTTACCAGACTAAGAGTGGAACCTATTAGAGACCAACAGGGCAATGCGTGCATGGTACCATAGGACATGGGTGAGGTTTTAAATGAATACTTCTCATTTATATTTCAGAGGAGAAAGTCATGGTAGCCAGGATATCAGTTGGGGTGGTGAAATTCTAGAACACATTACGCTTAATAACAAGGAGGTATTAGATCTTTTAACGCGCATGAAAATGCATAAATCCCCAAACAACCACAAAGAACTGTGGATGCTGGAAATCAGAAACAAAAACAGAAATTGCTGGTAAAACTCAGCGGGTCTGGCAGCATCTGTGGGGAGAATGCAGAGTTAATCTTTTGACTTCAGTGACGTTTCTTCAGAACTAGACATTTGCCTTCATTTGCCAGATTGTAGAATATAGGAAGTCTTGTTACAACTTTATAATACATTAATTAGGCCACAGACAGAATCCTTTGTGCAGTCTGGTCGTCACACAATCAGAAGGACACGACTGCACTGGACAGGATGCAGAGAAGATTCACCTAGATGTTGCCTGGGATGAAAAGTCTCAGTTATAAGGACAGACTGGTCAGATTGGGTTTGCTTTCTTTGGAGCAGTGGAGGCCGAGCCAAGATCTGATTGAGGTATTAAGAAAATTATGAGAGGCAGAGACAGAGTAGATGTGAGAATCTCTTCCACATGGCTAATATGTCTAAGATCACAGGGCATAAATTTAAGGTGAGGAGCAAGTGGTTTAGAAGAGATCTGAGAAAATATTTTTCACCCAGAGGGTGGTAGAAGTATGGAACATGCTGTCTGACAGAATGATGGAGGTAAGTACAAGCATCTGGATGAGCATTTAAAATTCAAGGGCATAGTAGGCTATGGACCAAGGGCAGGTAAAATGGGATTAGTGTAGTTTGGTATTTGTTGGTCAGCATAGACATGGTGGGCCATCAGGCCTGGTTCTATGCTGTATGACTCATTGATTAGCAATGAAACAAAACTGTGAAAATCTTTTACTTCATAAACTGGAATAATTTCCTTCGGTTAATGAACTTATGCACTCCAGATGATAAGTTGTACTTGTTCAGAAAAATTAACAACTGATGCAATACTTCAACAAGCCTAGCAGTTTAACTGTTCAAAGCCAAATTACAACAATGCTATTGCTAATTAAGAACTACCCCTATAGTCAGGGATCTACTCTAGGTTTTTTGAAATCCTTTTCTTTATGAAATATACCTTCTGTCCATTAAAAAGTACAAACTATGTGTTAAAATAATGTTGTAAATCAAAACGAGATCCATCATAACACAAACTCAAGAATCAGCATGTATCTTTTAATGAAATTGAAAGAAGGTCAGTAGCATTAAGGGCAAAGACATGGCCTGAATATGGAATTAGTTTGGTATCAGGAAGCAAAGGGTGGTGTTGGATGGACTTTTTTTTAAACCCAGGAATTAGATGGGCAGATACTCCCAAATGATCAGTTTCAGGACAATTCCTCTTTTCAATTTTTATAAGCAATCTTGACAAGAGTGTAGAGAGCAGCAAGATTTGCAGATCATAAAAAATTTGGAAATATTGTAGGGATAGCCACAGTTATAGGCTTCAGGATGACAAAGACAGAATGGTGAAATGGACAGAAGCAAGAAAGGTAGAGGCTAATATAAAGAAATGTGAAGCGATACACATTTGGACAAATTAATATGTAAAGGCATGAAATGAAATATGTCACAATTTTATGTGCTGCAATTGAGCAGAAACATGGCCACATACACAAATCCTCAAAGGTGGCACAGCAAGTCGATAAAATGGTTAAAAAAGCAGATAGGCTCTTTGGATTGAAGTAGAGGGATAGAAAATATCAGCAAGAGATCATTCTAGAACTCTGTAGTTAGGTTTCAATTGGAGTTAAAAAACAAAGAAAATGGTGGATATGGAGATCAAGGGATGTCTCATGGACAATTCTTAACATAACATTTCAAAAAGGATCCAGTCAATGGTGAATATAAGGCACGAATGACAGACAGGACAAGGAAAAACATTCTGAATAGTGACCTTGAGGGATTCTGTGTCAAATTACAAAGCAGGACCCCTAAGGTAGTCATCGCTGGATTCTTACTAGAACAACATGCAAATCGGCAAAAGACAAAACAGATTAGGGAAAAGAGGGTATGGTTCACCGACTGGCTTGTAAGGAGTGGGTTTGGGTTCGTGGGCACAGGCATGGGTATTGGACAAAGTGAGACTGATACAGTTTGGACGGTCAGCCCCTGAACCATGCAGGGGCTGGTGCCCTTGCAAACTCATAATTGGAAATTTGAAAGGATTTTAGACTAAATAGCATGGGCAAGGGATCAAATGTGAGATGTGGTGAATCAAAAGGTAAAGGCAAGACAACAGGGAAGAGAATTAACACAGGGCATATAAGCAGACCATAACAGGAAGAGTAAATCAACAGATAATAAGAGAGGTTACAAAAATAAACAAAGATAAAACTAAGATAACAAGGTGTAGAGCTGGATGAACACAGCAGGCCAAGCAGCATCAGAGGAGCAGGAACAGCTACCTAGAATACACCTCCTCCCACCCACCCTCCTGCAAAAATGCCATCCCCTATTCCCAATTCCTTCACCTCCGCCGCATCTGCTCCCAGGATGAGGCATTCCACTCCCGTACATCCCAGACGTCCTCGTTTTTCAAGGACCGCAACTTCCCCCCTCTCAGTGGTCGAGAACGCCCTCGACCGTGTCTCCCGCATTTCCCGCAACTCATCCCTCACACCCTTTCCCCTCAATAACAACCAAAACAGAATCCCCCTCGTCCTCACGTACCACCCCACCAACCTCCGGATCCAACGCATCATCCTCCGACACTTCCGCCATCTGCAATCCGACCCCACCACCAAAGACACTTTTCCCTCCCCACCCTTACCTGCTTTCCGGAGGGACCACTCTCTCCGTGACTCCCTTGTCCGCTCCACACTCCCCTCCAGCCCCACCACACCCGGCACTTTGCCCTGCAACTGCAGGAAGTGCTACACCTGCCCCTACACCACCTCCCTCACCCCCATCCCAGGCCCCAAGAAGACTTTCCACATCAAGCAGATGTTCACCTGCACATCTGCTAATGTGGTATACTGCATCCGCTGTTCCCGTTGTGGCCTCCTCTACATCGGGGAAACCAAGCGGAGGCTTGGGGACCTCTTTGCAGAACACCTACGCTCGGTTCGCACTAAACAACTGCACCTCCCAGTAGCAAACCATTTCAACTCCCCCTCCCACTCCTCAGATGACATGTCCATCCTGGGCCTCCTGCAGTGCCACAGCGATGCTACCCGAAGGTTGCAGGAACAGCAACTCACATTCCGCTTGGGAACCCTGCAGCCCAATGGTATCAAT